TAAAAAAAATTCCCAAGTCTCTTCATCTATGAACACTGTAGCTTGACATTTGGTACTCTCCGTGGAAACTCCTACCCTGCCTGGTACTTTTCCACTTTCCAAGTCTTCCAACCCTTCTACTGTTTCTTCCACCTCCATATCAAACCCACCTCTCCAGTGAAGTCTTGCTATGGTTTCCGGACAGGGAATGTTAGTGCTCATTTGACATTTTTACAGCATGTTGTCTTTGGCCCTTACTCAGCAGTTACTAGTTAACTTTTCAAATGTACCTGTACATGCTATTAACTTCCAGCTCAGCCTGTAAGCACCTTAGTTATGGGTTAATGACATGCATTTACATATTATAGGTGCTGGAAATATTTGATTAAGATATTCTAACTTGAAATGTTTCATTTTCAGTCTTTTAAATAGTACTTGATGAGCCATTTCACAATTTAAAAGGATACTCAAGAAATCTATTAAGACAATAAACAATTATTAATACTTTACAAAGATACCAGAATGTCCCATTCCTTTTTAGGAAAATTTAAGGATTAAGATTTTTAAAAAGATCATTGGGACAAAAAGCCATTAAATGCTGAATCTTAAGTCCGAGGAACATTTCAGTTCCTGCGCAAACACTGTGGTGATAAAGAAACGTTTAGAGTACTGTAATTTTGTATTTTAAACGTCAAGAATAGCAGTAAGCAAATATAGCCAATCAAATTTAAGAGACAGAAAATATATTCCCATTCGTGGTTAACTGCTGATGTTAGAATATAGAACCATTTTTAGTGTCAACATATTAGATGACATAATTTTTCACAGTGAAAAAAGCTAGTATGAAGATCTTCAAATGGAAGCTCATCCATATATACATTCAGTGTATGTTGTAACTTATTTTGAATACTGGATTATTTCTGTAATAACGTAATTAAACTGTCTTTCCACAGTATCCTTGAAATTTTTTAAGGTAAGCCAATATATCCCCCCAAATTTTTGTATTCCTCACTGCATATGTCATATGTCGGGTAATTAATGCTATAATCTACACCTAGAATGTTTGAGGCAGGATTGTGAGAGAAAAGCAAGGGACACCGTGGCTTCCTGGAGATAGGTCAGTTGTCTCCAGTGAGAGGCATTACCTCGTATGGACCCAGTTCTGCCTTCACCAGCTACACCTAAGCATCAGCCTTCTCATCTCTGAAATATGGCTATTCATGCCTAACCCAAAATGCTTGCTGTAAGGATGAAAACAATGTAGGCAAGGGGTTTGTAGAGTTCCTGGTAAATAACAAGTACTTAGTACTCCTTTCTGAACACATATTTAATAAGTGCCTACTATATGCTGTTCTAGATGTCGGGAATTCCCAAATAGAAGAAGGTCAAGTCTTTATTCTTATGGAGCTTACGGTATAGCGGGAGGTGGCAAACAAACTGACCCATATACATCATAACATGTCAGGTGGAAATAAATGCTATGAAAAGAATTCAAAGGGGGGGGTGAGTAGATAGAATAATGGAGGAGGACTGTGCGTACATGCATGCACTATTTTATATAGGGTGTCAAGGGAAGCCACTTACCACTTCTCTGGTAAGACCTGAGAAGTGTGGGAGCAGGGCTTGTGGATGCCTGGGGAAAAGCTTTCCAAAGAGAGGACACGTCAATTTGCACAGTCCTGGAATAGGAGAGCATGCTTGGAATGCTGAAGGATCCAGAGGGATTCCAGGGGTTGGAGCCAAGTGAGCTGGGGGAGGAGAGCAAGGACATAAGGTCAGATATGTGCAAGGGGCCACATATTTAGGATCATAGGCCTTGGTGGGCCTCAGATTTTTTTTTTCTTTCTGAGAGAGGAAACCATTGAAGAATTGTGAGTAGAGAAGTCATCTACATATATTTGAAAAGGTAATATATTAATATTACCTTTTATTACCTAATATTGTGTTATCAAATGCTATAACCATAAGGGACTTAATACATAGGAAATGAGTATTACCTATTATTGTTCTTTAATCTGGTTCAACTAAATCATAAGTGGTTGAGCCTTATGAAATGGTAGTTTCCAGGGGCCAAAAATTGTGGAATATTGTCATAGGGTTCAACCTGTTTTATTGGATAGGGTCAGTAAAAAAACAAAGAACATGGGTTTCAGAATAAAATAGAACTGGATTTGAATCCCAGACTCAGGACTCACTAGCTATAGTCTTGGGCAGGTTATTTAACCTCTTTCTCCTTGGGTTTCCAGTTATGTATAATGAGGATGACAGTATAACCTAAGCCCAAGGTTTGATGATTAAATGAGATATATAGGTAAAGCATTTAGCACAGGACCTAGGAGCTTAATAAACAAGTGAGCAAATTAAGGAGGAGGACTGCATCTTTTACACTAACTGGTCAAATGAATAATTCAACTTTAAAACTGGCGTTTTTCTAGGTACTGAGGAAGCCTACTTTACATTATTTAAAGAGACAATAGCTTTTGATTTACTGTTCCCTGCATTTATACAATTCATCTTTACACAGATAATTAGGTACGTGAATATTCTATGGCTCTATAAACAGTTATGGCTGTTGGAGAATTGAAAATATTTTGAGAGTTGGATGTTTTAAACTTTCTTTATCAAGGCAATCCCATTTCCTCTATCAAAGTAACTTAATTTTAAAAACGAACTCTTGTGTTCTTTAAATGAAAAGGCCAGAAGCTACTGGCCACTCAAGAGTATTTGTCTGAGATTCCCTTAGTACCTTCAATATAACTCAAACTTAGAAGTGCTCCTCAAAATTTGTGTGAAGCAAAATTTTACAATTAAAATCACTTAAGTTCACATTTAAAACATAGTAACACAGTAAGACATGATTAACAGAAAATTTCAGCCACAAATACTCTCACCACGGCCAATTTTACATTAATTTTATCTACATTAATTGAATGTTCTAAAGGACTCCCAGTAAAACGCACATGCAGACTTAGCGACGTCTACAAATCAAAGAGGACTTCATTGCAGCAGCTCAGAAAACTCTCCCAAACAAATCTAAATATTTGAAATCCATCATACTGCATGGAAAAATCTCTTGCCTACTATTTTTTTTGTCTGTAAAAATAAATGTTGACTTTTGCTTTCCAAACTATGTGCACGCTCTGTATTTCACACTGCAGCCTCATTCTATCGCTGAATACTGATGCCACCACGAAGCGAAACATTCCAAACACCGTTTACGTTCCCCTTGTTGCTGAGTAAACCGCCGTGCTCATCTCAAACTAATTCACTTCCAGAATAACGGGATGGTGCAACAAGCACACTCTGCCCCTGAAGGCGCGCCACTCGCGCGGCCAGGCCGGCCACCACCGGCGCGGCCGTCGGCGGAGCTCCCTGCGCGCGGCGGGCGAGCACGCGTGTGTGCGCGCAGTGCGGGGGCCGCCCGGCCGGCACCGTGCGGTGTCTTTCCGCTGTGTTGCTTTCCAGCATCCCAGCAAATCACAAAAACGAAGGGAACTACGGAGACGACGGGAGGACCGTCACGCGTGGTTCCTCAGGGAGCGAGCGGGAGTGGCACGCCTGGCCGGGAGCCCCGTGCAGAGTCCTGCGGAGGCGAGCACCGCAGCCCCGGGCTCGGGAGCCCCGAACTCCTTCGCTGCACCTCCGCCCCCCCGGCCCCACCAGCGCGCCGCCGCCGAGACTCAGGACTTGGCTATATTTGGAGACGGCCGCCGCGGCGGGTCCGACGGCCAAGGCGAACGGCCTGGAGACCCCTGCCCCCGCACCGCGGGCAACAGGCCAGGACTCGAATCCGAACCGCCCGGCCCAGGCCCGAGGCGGCTGCCACCCCCAGCCCCGCCCCACGCAGGCGCGCTCCGGGCCCCTCCCCCACCGCGCGCTCGCGGGGCCCGGCGGGGGCGGAGCGACCCTCGGAAGGGGCGTGGTCACCGGCCTCGACGCGCGCACGCGCTCTTCAGACCCACGGCTACGTGTCTGGCCACGTGACGCCCACCCCGAAAGTCCCCCGTGAAGCAACAGGACGTTAAAAAAAAAATTATTTTCTAGGGGTGATGGAGAGGGTGGGTGAGAGATTTATTGAAAAAAAAAAAAAACTATAGTAACGGGAGGAGAGTAGGAGGGATCGGGCGGCGGCAACCGCAGCACCGTCGCGGTGCGTCCCGCTGGAATTCCTCTCGCCTAACCCGCCACCCGGACCACGCCTGCGGCCCAAGGCGGCAGCAGCACGGGGAGCGGCTTGCCCCGCCCGGCCCGTGGAAAGCACGGCCACCCGCACACCTCGCCGCCCTTTCCTTGCCCCCTCCCCGTCTGTCGACTCCGCAGCCCACACCCAGCCCCTCCCTGCGGTCTCGCCCGCACAGGTGGAGACCCCGTCCCGGCGCCCAGGCCCGGGCTTGCGGAGCACGGCCTCCCGTCACGCTCTCGCCGGCCAGCCCGAGGGAGGAGGGAGAGAGCACGGCGGCGGTCCGGGCCGGGGGGCGGCGGCG